CAAAATCAGGAAGACAATTCATGATCAGAATGAGAAGTCCAACAAAGAAGTAGAGATCATAAAAAACAATCAAACAAATCATGGAACTAAATAATTCAATGAATGAAATAACAAATACAACCAAGAGCTTCCTCATAGACTAGACCAAACAGAAGAGAAAAATCTCTGAATTTGAGGAAAGCTCTTTTGTAATAAGCCAGTTAGACAAAAAGAAAAAAAAAAGAATTAAAAAGAATGAAGAAGAAAGCCTTGGTACTTACTGGACACCAATAAGCAAACAAATTGTTCACATTATGGCAGTTCCAGAAGAGAGGAGATGGGAAGAAGCATAGAAAAACATATGCATTGAAATAATAGCTAAAAACTTCCCAAGTATTGTCAGATATATAGACATCCAGATCTATGAAGCTCAAAAGGTACCAAATAGATTGAATCCCGTAAAGGTCCTTGCCAAGGCACAGAATACTCAAACTGTCAAAAGTCAAACACAAAGCGAAGATTTAAAAAACAGCAAGACACAAGTGTCAAGTCACACATATAAGGAAATTTCCATTAGACTAACAGCAAGTTTTTTTAGAATCAAACTAATAGGCTAGGTGAGAATGGGATAACATATTCAAAGTGCTGAAAGAAAAAAAAAACAACTGCCAGCAAAGCTGTTTTTCAAAAATGCGGGAGAAATAATGTTCCTAGACAAGCAAAAACTGAAGAAATTTATTACACTACAACAGCCTTACAAGAAATACTTAAGGGAGTCCTACATTGAGAAAGAAAATGATAATAACTACCATCATTAAAATACACAAAAATGTAAACTCACTAGTAGAGCAAGTACATAAAGGAGAAAAAGAAAGGAATCAAACCTTATCACTACAGGAAACCATCAAGTCACAAAGATAAACAATAAGAGAGGAAAAAAGGAATGAAAGATCTACAAAACAACCCAAAAATAACAAAATGACAGGAGTAAGTCCTTACCTATCAATAATAACCTTGAGTGTAAATAGATTAAATTCCCCAATTAAAAGATACAGCGTGGCTGAACAGATTTAAAAAATGACTTAACTATATACTGCCTACAAGAAATTCACTTCACCTGTAAAGACACACATATAAAGCAAAGGGATGAGGTGGGCAAATCATTTGGGCCCAGGAGTTTGAGACCAGACTGGGCAACATGACAAAACCCTATCTGTATAAAAAAAATGAAAAAATTAGCTGGGTGTGGTGGTGCACACCTGTAGTCCCAGCTGCTTGGGAGGCTGAGGTGAAAGGATTGCCTGAGCTTGGGGACGTAGAGGCTACAGTGAGCTGTGATTGCACCAATGCACTCCAGCCTGGGCAACAGAGCAAGACCCAATCTCAAAAAAGAAAGAGAAAAAATAATAAAATAAAGAAAGAAAGGAAAGAAAGAAGGGAAAGAAAGAAGGAAAGAAAAAGAAAGCAAGCAAGAAAGAAAGAAAAGAAAAAGATTGAAGAGATGGCAAAAGACATTTTACACAAATGGAAACTAAACCAAGCAGGAGCAGCTGTACTTCTATCAGATAAAATAGACTTTAAGTTGAAACTGTAAAAAGAGATGAAGATCATTAAATAATGATAAAAATATCAATTTTGCAAGAGGACATACCAATTGTAAATATACATGCACCCAATACCAGAGGATCCAGACTATAAACCATATATTATTTCAGCTAAAGGAGGAGACAGACTGTAGTACAATAATAGTTGGAAACTTTCAGCACCCCATTCTCAGTGTTGGGTAGATCATCTAGACAGAAAATCAATAGAGAAACATTGGATTTAAACTGTACTATAGATCAAATGGACCTAACAAGCAGTTACAGAACAACGTTTTATCCAACAGCTGCACATTCTTTTTTTTTTTTTTTTTTTTAAGACAGGATCTCACTGTCACTCACCCAGGCTGCAGTGTATTGGCGCAATAACAGCCTGAGCCTCCTGAGTAGCTAGAGGTTACAGGTGTGGACCATCATGCCTAGCTAATTAAAAAAATTTTATAGAGATTAGAGATGGGATCTCCTCATGTTACCCAGGCTGGTCTCAAACTCCTGGGCACAAGCAACCTCTCATTTCAGCTTTCCAAAGTGTTGGGATTACAGACACGAGCCACTGCAGCTGACCAGAATACACATTCTTCACAACAGCACATGGACTGTTCTTCAACACAGATCATATAGTAGACCATGAAACAAGTCTCAACAAATTTTTAAAAATTGAGATCATATCGAGCATATTTTCTGACCTTATACAATAAAACTAGAAACCAACAAGAACATAGGAAACTGTATAAATACATGGAAATTAAACAACATGCTCCTGAACAACCAATGGGCAAATGAAAAAATCAAGATGGAAGTTAAAACATGTTTGGAAACGTATGAAAACAGAAACACAGCATACCAAATCTATGGGCATATGGAAAGCAGTAGTACTAGGAGGAAACGTTAAAACATAGTTACATTAAAACAGAATGATTTCACATAAACCACCTAATGATTCACCTCAAGAAATTAGAAAAGCAAAACAAACTATGAGATGAGCCTTGACCAATGAGATTCCAGAGTAGGAAACGATAAGGTAAATTCTCAGTTCATCTCCTCTCCGCACACTACTCTGAGGTGAAATTTCTTCTCACGGTCCCTCAAAAAGACTGGCAAATACATATGATGAACAACCTGTTCTGTTGCTTCGTGGTTCATTATGAAGAGGCAATCAGTGCTTCAACACAGCTTTGCATCTCATCTTGTTCAATTTTCCCCTTTCCTCACCCTCACTTCCCTGGGCTTGAATCTCACAGAAAAAGAACAGTGTTTTAATCCTGCTTCAGGCTCTGTTTCCTAGAGATCCTGTGCTAAGATAATTATTATAAAAAACTTTCCCTCAATGCTACATCTCTCCTTGGACTCTCCTTATATCTCACCTCCTTTGAAACTTTCCAAAAGAGGTATCTTTATCCTTATCTCCCTATCTTTGTTTTCTTATCTGCCATTCATTCCTCAGTCTTGCTTCTTTCTACCATTTCTCTGAAACTGCTTCACTAAGATCAATAATGATTTTTTTTTTGTTCTTAAATCCAAAGGATAATTTTCAGCCTTTATCTTACCTAGTTTTTCTGTAGCACTTGACACTGACCTCGCCTCCTTCTTCAAATATTGTCTTGCCCTGACTTCCAGACAATGTACTCTTGGTTTTTATCTTGCCATTTTAGCTGGTCCATTTCAGTCACCTTTACATATCTTATAAGTATCGATATTTACTAGAATTCTGTTCTCAGTCCCCTTTTCTCCCCTCCCCTCCCCTTCCCTTTGCTTGCCGTCCCTCTCTTTCCCTCCCTAATATCTGTATGAACTATCCCTGGACAATCTTGTTCATTCGCATACATAGCCTCAAGTGCTGATAACTTTCAAAACTATATTTTAGATCTAACTTTCCCTCTTGAGTATCAAATTCTTAAAACAATTTGCCTACTGGATATTTATTCTTGGAGTGCTATTGGCTCCTGAAACTGAACATGTTCAAAAGTGAAACTCAGCATCCTCTTCCCACCTGAATCTGTTCCTGTTGCTGCCTTTCCTATCTCATGGACTGATGCCTTCATTCCTAAGCCAGAAACTGGGTCCCAGTTTTCTCAGGACTTTTCTGGTTCTAACATGTGGAATCCCTCAGTTCCATGCAAACTGGAATGGTTTGTTCAGAGCTGTCTCCACTTTTAAACTGGAACTGCCACGTTGTAGAATCCCCTTAGTTCTGAAAATATGAGGAAGATCGGTCAGTCTGTTTTCCACATCCAATCAATTACTAAGACTTATTTGTTATAACTTTTAAATATGTCTAGTTTGTCTATTTCTCTCCATATCTATCGCTATTGTACCAGTTCAGGCTATTAATATTTCTTACCTGGATTGCTGCAAACTTTCCTTCTGCCTCTAACATTGCTTCCTCCAACCCATTCTCTGAATTGCTGCCAGAAGATTCTTTTATTTTTTTAATTTTTATTTTATTTATTTTTGAGATGGAGTTTTACTCTTGTTGCCCAGGCTGGAGTGCAATGACTGTGATCTTGGCTCACTGCAACTTCTGCCTCCTGGGTTCAATAGATTCTCCTGCCTCAGCCTCCTGAGTGGCTGGGATTGCAGGCATGCACCACCACGCACAGATAATCTTTGTATTATTAGTAGAGAAAGGGTTTCACCATGTTGGCCAGGCTGGTCTTGAACTCCTGACCTCAGATGATCCACCCGCCTTGGCCTCCCAAAGGTGTGAGCCACTGCACCTGGCCAGAATATTATTTTAAAATTATAAACCTGATGATGTTGTTCCCCTCCTTAAATATTTTTAACTGTTTCCTATTTGCCCTAGGATAAGGTGCACAATTTTTAAGATTGCTCTCATAGCCCCTCATAAAATTGTCCTGCTCATTCCTCCAGACTCATCCCTTCTCACTTTCCTCATACACTGTATGTAAGCTCAGATGCCAGCTGTTCCCTGTCCATTATTTTTAAAAATATTACACCCTCATAGACATAGAACTCTTGCATGTCATCACATTATCTTTCCCAAACCCACATTTATAAAAGTCTTAGTGAGAAATAGGGAATTTATGGTGAGATGAGGGAGATATTTTATTATACTTGGTATAGTAATAACCATTTGAGATTTTTTTCCCCCAAAGCTTTTTCTTAGCTGTGGCACTTCAAGGACTGTTTTTGTCTTTATCTTCTTCCCAAGGCATACAGCCTTTTTGGATCCAGCCCCTATCCTCACTCCAAGTTTTTTACATTCATCTCTTTATTGCACTGAGCAATTTGGCTTTACCCAACTCCATCAAAGGGCTCACCAAAACAAAGTGTTCTTCTACTTCCAGATTCCATTCTTGTTTAGTTACTATTATTTTTAGCTTGACTATGTCCCTTAAGATCTTGTCTCTCATCCCATGTAGTTTATTAAAGTATTTCTTTTTTTAAAAATTTTTTAGGGGTGCTCAGGGGCTGCTCCCCTTTATTATTAATGACAGCGATTTCTCTCAATGAAGTGTAGCGCCCTCCCCTTTGGGACAGTTGCCTGACCCCTGTCCATCACCCCTTCAAGTACCCTCATCAGAAGAAGAGCCTGCGCATTCGCCTGCCGATGCCTTGTCGATTGTAGAGGACGTTGAACTTGTTCATAAACTGGTTCATGGTGTTACACGTTTTGGTGATGGTGCCGAGGTAGGCCATGAGCCCCACGTCGTTGCATTGATCATAAAAATCTGTCTTGAACTTGTCTGTGCTGAGCACCGGAAGGCAGTGACACAGAGCATAGGCCTCCCGCAGGATCTCATGATTAAAGGGGACCTCTCCTGCTTCAGAGGCCTTGACGTACTCCAAGATGAGCTTGACGCGGCTGTGCAGCATCTTGATGGCGCTGTGCTGTGCTATCAGGTGTTCGGCCACAGTGGAGTTCTCTCCACTGCCTGTTGCTGTCATTCGGGCTACGTGGTCTACACCAATGCGTTCCGCTTCCTCTGTGGCCAGAGTGTAGGTCAGCTCAGCAAACAGCATTGTGGCCTCTCCCTTGATTATATCGATGGCAGACTCAAAAATGCTGACAGGAAGATCTGTGTGCTTGGTCATAGGGTTCAGCTTCAGAAAGAGGGGGCTCTCGATGATCTCACACACCTGCTTATGGACGTGGATGTCCGAGGGGTCAGGTGGCCCCCCTGTGGTATACTAACCCAGAAACTCCAGCTCCTTGAACACCTGTTTAAACTGCTCCTCCTTGGTGTAATAATATTCCTTGTCAATGATAATCTTCTCTTCCACGGTGTGGGACAGCAGCTCAAAGTAGTTCATCACCTCGATATTTCGGCCTTCCTGCTTGCCAATCAAAGCCCCAATCACCTGCACAGGCCGCCCCTCCTGGGAGCGCATGCAGATCCAGTAGTCAGAGATGTTGAGAATGACAAGGGGATGGAGAGCGACGGAAACACTCCTAGTCACTCCAGAGGGCATCACGCTGGAAACTACTGCTGCATCCACCTCCATCCCGCTGCTCCCTCTGGTCCCGTTTGTAGCTGCAGCCGCCGCCATTTTCCCCGCGCCCCTAAAATATTTCTTTAAAATATGGTGTTATATTCTTAGAGGAATTCTTGTACTAGTTGCCAAAAGAGTAAAAGTTTCTTCGTTTTGTTACATGTGTTTTCGCCACATTGGTTTTCCTGCAGTTCCCATAGTATTCCTTGTTCTCTCCTACTATGTCTTTGTACAAGCTGCTAAGTTTGTTTGGGATACTTTAAAGTGAACCAGTTTTAGATGTAGTTCATAGGTTTGACTTGGATAAAGGGAAGAATTCTCTATTACATCATGGGAGTCATTTTCGCCACTGTTTGATCTCATGGCCCATGATGAAATTTCGCACACATGCATTGGTCTCTACCGGGCGGCATTGGACAAAACTAACTCTTCAGTTTTTGAAAATGATTTCAAGACTCTCCATATGGAACAGTAGTACAAGGACATTAATGCGCGCCTTAAGATATTATTACAGCCTTTTCGTTTGATCCGTAGTCAAGAACTGCCAGTCTTATCAAATTGCCAGAATCATGGTCCCTTGACACAGACACATATGCAAAACATCCCATGGCCATTGTGCACAGTACACCTGCATATTTAGTTTTGCCAGTGTGGGCTCATGATTTCAATTTAACTTATCTTTTTTGATAAATACATAGTTGGGTGTATTTCTTTATTCGTTGATAATGCAAACGGTTTGGAAGATATTTTTAGGATGGCAGTAGATTTTTAATTTATTGTTTTTTTGTATTAAGATCACACTGCGTAGGCCAGGGCGCGGGTGACTCACGCCTGCTAATCTTGCGCACTTTCGCTGAGGCGAGGCGGTGGCGGATACAGAGTGTCAGGAGATCAGGACCATCCTGATACATGGTGAACCCTGTCGTTCTTACGTAAATAATACGAAAAAAATTAGCTGGGCATGGTGGTGGCAGGGGCTGGTTTAGTCCAGCTACTCAGGGAGGGTTGGGGTGAGAGGAGAATGGGTGTGAACCTGGGAGCGGAGCTTGCAGCCGGCCCACCGGGCCGGTGGCGCGAGATTGGCGCCACTGCCTTCCGCCTGGTGCTGACGAGCAAGAATGGCCCCTCCAAAAAAAAAAAAAAAAAAAAAAAGAGTCACACTGCTTGGGTTTCTTGGTGGCCTTTCTCAGTATTTGAGCCCTTGATCTTCAACCACAGAGGTGGACTAGTACCTATAAAGTACAGGACAACAAGGCAGCTAAAACATTTATTATTGAGATGAACATATTCATCATCTGATTTGAGTGATTAAGAAGACTTTGCCTGAAAACATTGCCAATATCACCTTGAGAACAGTGTAGATGAACAAAAAGAGTACAGAGTGAGATTTCAGAAACAGATTTCCCCTCTAGTTAGGTTTTCTTATGTCACTTTAAACTCTGCACTTTCTAATCTTTTAACAGTCTTTATACTCATATTTTAAGAGCAAGATCTTCTCTTGTTTCTTTATTCACTCAGAAAGGTATTATAAAATCATGGATGTGAAATACTATGAAAAACTAAAAATGCCTTGCAATCGTAGGTGGTCTGTCAGCTTTCAGATTTGCAAAGGACATCCATGAAGAGACTAACCATACCTATCTATTAATCCTTCCTACTATCCAACTATCCAACTATGTTTCTCTCCCTCCCTTCTTTCAACAAGTGTTTATTGAGCACTTCATATCTGCAAACAACAGATATGTCTTTCTGGAACTTATACTCTTGTGTAAGTAAATAGTAAATAGAAAATTTAAATCCATATTGGTAATGGCTATAACTGGGAAGAATAGGGAACTGTGGTATGGTTGGATTGGGTAGGGTGGGTGGGGGTTAGGGAAGATTTTCCACAAAAGGTGGTATGAAGATTTTCCACAAAAGGTGGTATGTAGACTGACAGCTGATCCTTTCATTGCCATGGGAAACTGTAGGAAATATTTCAGGTCTTATGGTATATATGGGTAATAGGAGGGCAACAAGAGGTGCTAGAATATTCAAAGTAAACGGAACATTGCGTCCAAAGGCCCTGAGGCAAGAGTTAGTGTAGTTCAACAAATATCTCAAGGTAGATGTTCTGCTAGGTTAGAAATCTTCACTTGAATTGCTTATGGACAATGTAGTAGCTAGTTTCATAGAATATCTGATGTGTGAAATGTGTAAAGTTTATCCATTTGCCCTGCAGTTCCCATAGTATTCCTTGTTCTCTCCTAAAAAAAACAAGGAAGGAGGAAGGAAGAGGAAGGAAGGAAGGAGGAAGGAAGAGGAGGAGGAGGAGGAGGAGGGAGGAGAGGAAGGAAGGAAGGAAGGGGGGGAAGAGATTCATTTCTAAGACTTGAGGCCAGGTTTGCAAATGGATAAACTTACTTTCACACATCAGGATATTCTTATGGAATAGCTACTTACATTGTCCAATAAGAATTCAAGTGGAAGGTTTTTAACTAGCGAAAACCAATTACTTGGATCTTTGTTGACTACCTAACTCTTGCTCAGGGGCTGTTGGAGAAATGGTTCGTTTTATTTGATAATTCTGGACCCTTTGTATGCCCTCTATTACCTATATTTACATAAGGAACCTTGAATATTTCTACAGTTCCCATGGCAATGAGAAAGGATCAGGTGTCAGTCTAATACACTTTGTAGGATCTTGTTCCCTTTTGTGGGAATCTTCCCTACCCACCATCCTACCCAATCAACCCATACCACAGTTTCCCTATTACTTCCCGTTATAAGCAAATTACCAATATGGGGGATATTAATATTATCTATTTCATATTTATCCACAAGGTATAAGTTCCAGAAACGACATTATTTTGTTGCAGGATATGAAGGCTAATAACCGTGTCTGGAAAGAAAGGGATGGGACATAGTTAGTGTTTAGTGGATCGTTAGGAAGGGGATAATAGGATTAGGTCATGGTTATCTATTCAATGGATTGTCCTTTTGCTTTGGGAAAGTGACAGCCATACGGTTGAGCATTTTAGTTTTCTATAGTATTCACATCCATTGATTTTATAATCCTTCTGAGTGGAATCAAGAAAGGAGAAGATTTGTATTAAATATGAGTATACCGACTGTTAAAGTTGAAAAGTGCAGGTTTAAAGTATGGAATAAGGAACTAAAACTTAGGAAATCTGTTTCTGAATTCATCCTCGTACTTTTTTGTTCATCTTACACTGTTTTCTCAAGGTAGGTATTGGCAATGTTTCAGGAAAGGTCTTCTTATCCATTAATCAGAATGATGGAATATGTTCTCTACCTATAACATAGTTTTAGCTGCCTTTGTTTCCTTGTTCATTTAAATATGGTATAGGTCCACCTCTGATGGTTATGAGATCAGGGTCAATGACTGAAAAGGCCCAAGAACCAAAGCGTTGTGACTTTTTTTTTTTTTTTTTTTTTTGAGGCAGGTTTTTGCTCTGTCGGCCCAGGTGGAAGTGCAGTGGCGCCATCTCGGAGTCAATTGGGCAAGTCCCGCCTTCCCAGGCTTCAACACCATCTCTTGCCTCAACCTCCCTGAGGTGCTGGGCTTACGGCCCCTTGCCCCTGCCGCTAATTTTTTTGTATTTTTAGTAGGAAGGGTTTCACAATGTTGTCAGGGGATGGTCTCGGATCTCCTGACCTCGTGATCCGCCCGGCTCAAGGCTCGAAAGTTGACCAGGTCAGGCGTGAAGTCACGGCGGCTGGGGACCTTTAGCGTGTAGTAGCTTTATACAAAATATATCTACTTGCCTCTAATCTCAACGGTTGCATTTAAGGAAATAAGATCACTCATATGTTTATCAAATTAGTTTTGAATTGACACCTGCAATTTTGATTGTGTGTACTGTGGCACAATGGTCAAATGTTGTTTTGATATTGTGTTTTCAAGGACTATGATTGAATTTTGTTAACTGGTGTTTTTTGATTAGGATCAACTGAAAGCTGTTAAATTCTTAGGCAATTTAATGTCTTTCATATTTCATTGGAGGTCTTGAATCTTTTTCAAAACTGAATTAGTTTTTATTCATCCCTAGAGACAATGGCGTGAATTTATCATGCTGGT